TTTAAAACTAAGAAAAGACTAAATCAAACAAGGTATTTATCAGATTTGTATTAAACAAAATTTAACAGAGGAATATCTAATCACAAATGTATCAATTATAAGGTTCTGGAATTCTTTGAATCATGGATGAAGGAAAAATTTCGCATTCCTGCGTTTTATAACTGCTACGGCACTTTAGTATCAGAATTCGAATTACTATGGCTATTTTATCTGAAACTTCCCAGTTCCAGATTTTAATCTTTAGAAGGATCTTTTCCCAAAGTCTTCTAAATCTTTAAAAATTGTATCAAAGACCTCCTTGGGTTATCCCTAACCTCAAGGGTTCAATTAACAAGGGACATAACCTGATTTCCCAATCACAGTTATGCAAAAATTATTCAAGACCCATTCCCATGGTGTTTTTGAACTTAAATCAAAATCTTGCTAATCAAATGAAACTAAAGCAAACCATCACAGTATTCAGAAAAATAAAAGATCACCCAATCATCGTGAATCCCAGAAAGGAAAAGATCAGAAACCCATATTCAAAAATATTACAAATCTAAAAGTAAAGAAACATGCATCACAAACATTCATGAAAGAAAACTCAAGGTAAAGTTACAAACCGGTTCTTAAAGAGTCAAAGTTCCTAAACTAGAGCTAGGAAGAAAAAGATCAGAAATGTGAAAACAGTAGCTCGTATGCAGATCCGTGGTTCCTTTCCTTGAAGTTGCGTTGTCAATGCACTTCGAGATCAAGAATTGAAGAACATGCACCAGCTTTCAAGACAAACACTCAGATTCGAAGAGAGAAAATACAAAATTCTAAACGTAAACTGAAACTAACAAGTACGGTATCTGACCCTAAAATGACTCAGACTCCTATTTAACTAAAAATTATAAAGCTGCCTCCAAATGCACTGCTGTCCATCCATCTCTATGTCCATCCAATGGTTCAGATTTGATCTTGATTTCAAAGAGTTGATCTTGCTTCCAAACTGCAGTAAAAATAATAAAAGAGAGTAGTAAATCATCAGTTTATCTCTTTCTCTCTTTTTTTTTACCTTTGGGCTGATTGGCACTCATTTGGCCCATTACCATGCACTAATATCCAGCCTTCAACTCAAATATTGTAAAAATAAAGCCATTAAAATAATCATAATTTATAGCTAACACCTATCCTTCAGATTTCACGATTTGGACCGTATTTGGGGCCAATCCACACGCCTAAGGGAAGAGTTTGGGGTGTTCTTCAGCTGCTCCTGCGGATTTGGGGTTTGGGCCGCCTCCTTAGTCGATTAGGTCATCCTACTCCCCCTCTGCCGAATGGGGGGGTTTTTAAAAAACAAATCCGTCGATATTTAGTCGACTAAATATCGTTACTTAGTCGACTAAATATCCCAAAAATGTAGTCGATTAAGATGATTTTTTAGTCGACTAAATTTGCGGTAGTCCACACTTTCTGAAGATTGGCCATTTGCTCGACTAAAACAGCAAGGTAGTCGACTAAAAGGGGGCAGGTTGGTGGATAGTTCTTGATCAGGGACAAATTGGTTATTATTTAATTAATGAGGGGCAAAAGAGTCAAAAAGCCACACTTGTCACCTAAGCCAAGTTGTGAATATATATTTAAAATAAAATGAATACTCGAACATGATTAATGATGCAACCTTTGAATATATACAGGGGTTATCACAGTCGCAGTTTTCTCAATATTATTTTATCTATTTTCGTGACTCAAACCTAAAATTAAGGGGATAAATTCATTATCACTTAAACTAATATTCATTGGTTACGATTTATATTTAGGCTTGGTTAAACTAATAAAAATAATTATTGTTGAAATAATGTCATGTAAAAAAATAAGTATAATTATGCTTTTATGAACCTCGATAACAGCAAAAAATAAGATTAAATCAATAATTTTTGTAATAAATAATTATGTTATAATATATCATAATTTAACATATTAAAATGAAAAAACTTCTTATTTACATATTTTCAATCCCTGACTAACTTCTACCAGGTTGGATATATCTATCATTATGTGTTGTATGTCATCTTCAAACTATACATTTAATCCGAAAAAGATATATAGAAAAAACGCAAAGGAGATTGAAGCTCAACTTTTCAGATTTTCTCATGATCGCATAATTTGTGTGTCTAAAAACTGAAAACACAATATAATGACCAACCATGGGAAATATTTATGTGAAGCTGAATTCTTAGATTATTTCTGACACGTTACATAAGAATTGATACTAGGTAAAAGTCCAAACCACAAGCTTGATAACTTAAAACTGATTAACTAAATCAATTTGTCAAAGATAAAAAAAAAAGAAAAAGAAAAAGAAAATTGGGCCACACAGAAAAGAAGATAGTAGCCTTTGCCCCACAACACCAAAACACAGAGTAATATAAAAAGCATTAGGAGTCTCAGAGTCTCACGCACCCAGCTATCTTGTCTTATTACTGTAGATGTCACCATAGTATATCCATCTTCAATGTATTTACCAGCATGATGATCACTTCGAAATTTATTTAGAATTTCACATATTCATTGTTGTTATATGTTTGGTTTTTTAAAATTTTATTTAATTCTTAATTTATTATTTAAAACGCATTATCCCTTAAAATTATTTTATCAAATTACGTATTATTAAATCATGCAAAGAGTTTAATTGTTATAACTATTATCAATGAAGCTTAACTCTTTTAATAATGCACTAATATATTATTAAATGATATTATTATAAAAAAAAGCTTATACTGATGTTGCATATAGCTAACATAAAAAAAAAACCGTTATGCATATTTTATTATACACATTAATTTCATATTATACAATTTTATAGTCTATTTTAGTATCATTTGAAGGGTAACTATGATTAACTTAATTTAGAGTCATACTTTTATAAGAGAATTATTTAATGAATCCTAATTTTTAAAAAATCATACAATTATAGTTATGAAGTATCAAAATAATTCTTTTATAATTTAAAATAAGAAAACCAATTTTTATAATTTAATAAGTATTCTTTTATTAGTAGTTAAAAAAAGAAAGTGACAAATTATATTTTCTTAAATATTTTTAAAATTTTAAGGGTTGTATTGATTAAGATTTTAAAAGACTTTTTTGGGATAAAAATTCTATGGATTTTATTAAATTTGTAAGAGACTTTTCTCGACTTTGCTTGTTACCAACCTAAAAACTTTGTCAATCTATCATGAAGTTAGAATTTTTATTAACCCCTCTAAAATATGAAGTTAAAACAATAATTTTTATTTATACTTTATTATGTTAGAACTGATAGACATATGGTGATATAAATCAATACAGCAACAAGCATATGAAAGAATTGCACATAGAGACATCGATATATAAGTTTCTTACAAAGAGCTTGCACATAGAGACAATAAGAACATAAGAAAATGCTATAACAATAATAGATAAATCGCAAAAAATCCGAAGAGCTAGGTTAAGATTGTGAAACAAGAATAATATTTATATCTTCCATTAAAAAATTCTACAAAATCCATATTAATAAGAAATTCATTAAAATATTCAAATTTTTGAATACTAAAAAATTATTTATTTTTTGTTTAAAAATCCTTATTGAATATCATTAGATTTGGATAGACTCCAATTTTTTTTCAATTATCTTAATCGAATATCACATGACTTTCTTATAATACTTTCAAATCTTTTTTTTTTTGGAGTTATCCAACCCTAATTATCTCTTTGAGACGAGTTGGCTCCCTCCGGTATCCCCACGAGTATCCCCACGAGCTTCGACTCCTTGAGCCGGCTATGGGACTAATCCGGAGTACGGGGGAAATACTTTCAAATCTTGTTTGAATACCAATAAATTACTTTTATCCAAAAATATTTCTTTAAAATCTTAATCAAATACATTCCCTTAATCTCACACCCGACAAACAACATAATATTTTTACCAATTATTAAAGTTATAATTTTCCTAAATGACATACACTTTTTATTTGACAGGTGAAAAATATATTCAAATCAAATTTTGCATCAATTAAATAAATTTGTAGTATTATTAATATATGGTTTTTATATTGTAATTATATGTCTGAAAAATTAAACCATTAGATTTCTTTTAATTAATCACTGAGCAAGCTTGATCTAGAAAAAAAAAACACAATATAATAAAAGCAATGTTAATAAAATCGGATCGGCTTGATTGAGTTAACTTAGGAATTGGTTAATCGGTATCAACCATGCATTAGAATCGGTGCGACCTGGCCGATTTTTGTGAAAACCGGTGACCCAGTCCGGTCTCAACAAAAAAATTCTAATTTTTTTTCAAAAAATAAAATAAAATCATAATGGACATATTTAAATATTTTTTGCTTATTGACTTACATAAGTTATGTACCTACAACACTAATATTATTTCAATTATAACTATGCAAGAAATTTTGATTTAATTTATAGTTAGAGATGTCGTTTACTGAACCTGAAACTTCCGTATCATAATTATTACATTTTTGTTTGATCCTTTATTGGATAATAATATGTGATTAATTATTTTTTATATTAAAATATTTGAAATTTTTATCAATTTTTAAAATATTTTTATAATTTTTTAATATAAATTATAAAATTACATATAATTATCATATTATGGGATCGAAGCCCTCAATACCTCAACCGAATTAATCACCAAATCGAACATTGAATAAAAGTATAAAACTACTTCATTTTCAAATCATTGTACCGTTAATTAAACATACCATGAGAAAAAAACGTGTGATTCACCGCGATAACAGAGCGCGTGGGAAGCCTTCACATTTGAGGTAGACACGACGAATCCAACGTCTATAAATCCAGAAGATCTGGGCTAGCAACAGGTCATTTCAAAATAATAATTTTCAGACCTAATTTTCTGATTAAGCAATTAATGAATTAATTAATCTATCCAAATACTTCAAATAATTATTACAACTTTTTAATTAATTAATTAACTTCACGAATAAATATTGAATTTTTATGTCCTCGTAGTTCCACCAATCAATCATTCATTCATTCCAAGGAGGGATCGCTCTCTTTCTCACTCCCTCTTCTCTCTCCTCTCGCACCCTCAAAGGTTCTGTTCTCTGAAGGTGAATCCTCTTCTGGGTTTAGCAGTTCATGCATTTCCATTTGATTTTGCGTTTGTGGGTCGTGCATTTTGTGTCTAACTGTGTAAGCAAACTGAATATATATATATTTTTAGTCAAAATCTATGTTGAATTGAAGGTTTCGATGATATCCCAGAGTTTTTATTTGGTATCATGGCTTGTGAATGATGCTTTTCCAATCCGATAAGCAATATTCGTTGGGGTGTGATTTCTTTCATGCTAGATTAGGAATATTGAGATTCTGGGGTTTTCATTTTGCCCATTAGGGTTTTGCCATTGTGATTGGGTCTCTTCTGTTTTAAAAAAGAGGTCTTTAAATTTTTTATTTTTATTTTTCAGTCTTTTTCTTCTTTTGTGGGAGGGGGAAGTTGGGGTTTGTATATTTAAGGGTTTTGGGGGTAAATGTGATAAATTCATGTTCAGGAGCACTTTGTGAGTTGCCTTTTTTTTTCTATGTGGGATTTTCCTTACGAAATTGGTTTCACTTACTGGGAGGGGCTGCTTATGTTTGGATTGTACTTCTAAAGCAGACTTGATGTTCAAATTTTTTAACTTTCTGTTGTGTGGTGTGTAGAAGTGTCTGCGAAGGGGATTAACCTTTTAGATTTCATGTTGTGCTCTTGTATGCGTGTGTTACTGCATATATTGATTTTTTCACTGCTTTTTCTTTTTTGTACGGGAGGGGGTGGGGGTGTAGATTACAGAAATTGGTTAAAGAATTTTTATTTTTTTTGGTTGTGTAGAATGATTTAAGGTCACAACAATTCACAGTTGCTTATTTGAACTTTGTTGGCTTTTTCTCATGGGGAATGGCTAGAAATGGAATAATGGTCTTCATACAATGATATCGCTTTAGGTTTTTTGAGATTGTTGTTTTGTCTTACAACTAATTGTGATTGGCGATTTTACATCCAGCACTTTCTTGTCTGAATCCCATGTTTAGCGAAAATGACCTGAGCTTACGTACTACTTTCACTCATTCGTGATCAGGAATACCTGTGCTGGCACTTGCACTTTGGTTTGATTCCATCCTTTGCTCTGAGTTGCAAATCTGATAATTCAGTTAATTGTTAATTCTTCCTCAGTGACAGAACAAAAGAGAGTGCGGGTTCCTTTGTACTGATGGTAAGCATTTCTTTACTTATATGACTCACTGGAGCTATTTTGATGCAGATCATGTGTCTTTTGCGAATTTATATGCCATAAATTTGTCACAGTTGTTTGTTTCCGTTTTGGGTGTTTAATGTTCTTACATTGTAGCTTGGTGCTTTTGTTTTAGGCCACTAATGAAAATCTTCCGCCAAATGTAATAAAGCAACTTGCCAAGGAGTTGAAAAATCTTGATGAATCCCCTCCGGAGGGCATTAAAGTCATGGTAAATGATGATGATTTTTCAATAATATATGCTGACATTGAAGGCCCAGGCAAGTAACTTTTATGTTTACGGTTGAGCGTTAGGTAAAGAGCCCAAGCTGAACTAGAGTAATATATTTTTGCAGCTGGGACACCTTATGATAATGGAGTTTTCCGCATGAAGTTGCTTCTGTCCCGTGATTTTCCTCACTCTCCACCTAAAGGTGTGTTTTAGACTGCTCCCCATATGGACCGCTTTACAATCTGCTAGTTACATTGTTAAGGCAGAATTTTATTGTTAGTTATTTCCTTTGGAATTTTAACTTGTTCATGTTTTTGTTTTTGTTTTGAACTTTCTTATTGGATCAAATCTATTGTTTATTCAACCAAAAGACATTTATTTGCCCTTTAGTCCTGTATTGTTCACTTTTCCTACTTGGAAAGATCACATATATTTTTTGTGTTATTCCACACTGTTGTGAAGCCATTGAATATGATGATGCAGGTTTTTTCCTGACTAAGATTTTCCATCCAAATATTGCAATCAATGGAGAGATTTGTGTCAACACACTTAAAAAGGATTGGAATCCTAGCCTTGGGTTACGGCATGTTCTTATTGTAAGTGTTTTGGTTGTCCGTGTTAGCAAAATCTTATTCATTCCTTTGATCTGTCTTCTTGTGGGAGAGCTTTCTAGATATTCCTGATAATAGTTGTTAGTAGCAGTTAGCGGCCGACCCCGAAAATGGTATAGCGGTGTAGCGGGTAGCGGTATTGCCGCTACGGTGAACTATTAATTCCACATATATTATACTAACAGTCAAGAACGAGGCAATACCACTTTTAGTATTAATGCTCAAAAATAAGAAGTCACACAAAATCAAACCCATAATTCCACAATCAATGTCAAATACAAGGAACATAAAGGAAGGATCCAAAACTAAACACAAATGAACAATAAAATTGTCAAATATTCAAGTACAAGAAGTGAACTAATGAAGAAAATCATCATCATCTCCGGATTCTCCATCAAATTCCAACATGGGAGTGGTGTAGCGGGTAGCGGTATTGCCGCTACGCTACGCCGTTACCTTCTGCTACGGCAAATGTCGCGTAGCGTCGCGGTTTGTAGCGGCTGACCGCCGCCGCTACCCGCTACGGTAGCGGTTTAGCAGCGCTACGGGCCGCTTGTGACAACCTAGTTCCTGATTCATATTGAATTTAGTTTTGCTCATTGGTCTTTGTATTTATTAACATTGATTGATACCATAATGAACAGGTTGTTAGGTGTCTATTGATTGAACCATTTCCAGAATCAGCTCTAAATGAACAGGCTGGCAAACTACTGCTTGAAAATTATGAGGAGTATGCTAGACATGCCAGGTGAGTTAAGCCAATGATGCTATATCTGTCAATTAATTTCTTGTATGGGAATTTTGAATATTTAATGTTAGACTTTGATTATTTACTAAGTTTAACCCTGTTCTGGAGTCTTTAGTGGCAAATGATTTTTTTTTAAATAACTGATTGTCTTTCTTTACCTGCTTAAGTTCCGCTAGACACTTATCTATCTACTTGTTATCTTGATTACCTCGTTTAAGTTACCTTTCTGAGCTTGACCGTCTGGTTGAAGCTATGTTTCTTTAGCTCTATTTCTTTTGAAATTTGAGTTATTTCATTCAGTTGAGTTTGTAGGGCTTATGCTTATTGAGAGGGGTACACTATTCTTGATTATAAATTTAGGGTGTTTTTTCTTGGGTTTGATAAATTTTCTTGAGTTTGATAAAACCCTTTGGGACCTAGTTTCCATGCTAACTTTTCCCCACCTATTTGATTTGTATAATTTTTCCTCTAATGGGTTCGTAATTGAGGAGCTTTAGTTGTGGCATGTAGGCTTTATACAGGAATCCATGCAAAACCGAAGCCCAAGTTTAAAAGTGGAGCTATATCTGAATCAACGACTGCTCTTAATGTTGATCAGACTAACACCTCAGTGCTTAGTGCTGACATTAAAACTGCACCACCAAGTGTTGCGGTGTCGCCGTTGCCCTCAACCACTGCAACAAGAGGAAACAGTCAGGAACAGGCAGCGGTTGTTATGAACGAGACGGTTGTTAATGGTTCTAGTGCTGCTGCAGTAGTTTCTGCTGCTTCTGTACCACTAAAGAAGGAAGGTGGACAAGCAAAAGCTCAGGCAGACAAGAAGAAGATAGATGCTAGAAAGAAAAGTTTGAAAAGATTGTGATGAAGTTGTTCAATAATTGAACTTTGTATTTGTGGCTTAGTGTTGCAATTTGATAGAGAGAAAAAAAAAGGGAAGGGGGAGGGGAAATGTGGGTTCAATATTTGTTTCATAATGAATAATTGACTTTGGGAGTAAATGGATGAAATTTGAACTGTGTTGTCTTTGAACTTGTGTTATCCTCAGTTGCACTCAACCTTTGGTAATATTGATCTTTTTGGTAAAGAATATTGCTCCGTGAGTTGGGGGCACCCATTTATGAAAGATCAGTGGTTGGGATTGAAATTTTTTTCTATTGAAACCGACCTCTGCACAATTTTTTTTTAAAAGAATGATATGGTAATACTCTAATCTTTGAAGGTTTTTTTATCTTTTTTTTTTTTTAACATCTAGACTCTAATTATACAGGATCTGGATCCTCTCATGTGAAAATTTATATGACTATGTCATGTGGGTAATTATAACCATATAAAGATGGATCAATGGTAACAAAGGAAGAGAAAGAAAAAATATTAAAATAAGTAGTTACGAAATCATAATCGTTGATTTACCTTTGTATGGTTGTGATTTTTTTACATAACTATATCATGTTTTTTTCCACACGAGAGGATTCATTTCAATTATACATATACTGAAGTGATAAATGTAAGAAAAAGTGTGATGTGTAATAAACATCTTTCTAACCCAATATGGTGTCTTGCTATTGACTTTGAGAATCGTATTGATCAATCATATATGAATTAATCAGTGAATCAATTTGTCCCAGCCTTTTCTGTTCCCGAACAATTCAAACCAAAATTAGAGGCAGTATAAATCTAAAATACAAATTCATGAATAATCAGCATAAAAAATTTAAATCTCTGTTATAAAAAAAAAAAAAATTTAAATCTCAAGAAAATTATAGAAAAACTATAACTAAATAAATTAATCGAAGGATAAAAATTCAAAAATAAAAAAGTGATGGGTTGATTATGTATTAAGTTTTTAATCAAATTTTCCTAAAAAGTTAATTCCATCACACTCCAGCAATAAATTTCATTATATATTAAGTATTTATTTTAACTCTCAAAATATTAGTTCAAGCTCCACCACTCCATGCGTAAAACAAAACGACCACAATTTTTTGCGTAAGAAAAAAAAAGAAAAAGAACCAAAGGCATTAGAAATCTTGAAGGGAAGATTTTATCGTGCATTTACGTTAGGGATGGTGATGGATCGGGTTCTATAAAAAATGAAGTTTAAAATGATTAAAATGTTTTGGTTTAGTTCAGTTTTTAATATTTTTTTTTTATCAATACAAATTACACCAATCTAATCAAATTCAAGATAGATCGTCCGGTGATTAGGTTGGTAAATATTTTCAAAATTTAAAACAAATTTCATAAAAAAAATAAAATAAAAAATTAGATGAAGGCACAGAACATGGCCTCCATTTTCTACACCGCATATTTTGCTTAAGCCATGGCCTCCACTTTGACATTCTGATGTTAATCGCAGCTTTCTTTGACCACCCGAACCTTCGAACGATGTCCCTAGTATGCTGATCGTGGTGAATCTTTCTCAAATTTTCCATTGCAACCACCCAACATGAGCCAAATTGTCAATCATTTGTTGTTAGTTGATTCTTTTAACGATTTTGTTCAACATATATAGTAAACTTAACAACCAACAAATATTGTATAACTCCGGATATGATGTCCTTTATGAGTACCATACCAACTCCCATCATGATTCTAATCGGGTAGGGAGATTTTATGAATTTGAAGTTAGCCATGTTTTTGTTTAAAAAAAAAACATCCTTAAGGACATGAGTTTGTCTTAATGAATAAAATAAATAAACACTTAATCAAATATCTCCCTACCATGTTCAGTAAAGTATCCTGCGGTAGCAGGTCAAATATCATTTATATTCCCAGTCATCAACCAGACATGTAGCATATTAATGCAATGATTACGTCACCCTTTTTTTTTAATTGGAGACAACAACATTGATAGCTCAAGGACATTAAATAACGAAAAAAGCTTAGATCATATTTTCAACCACAAACAGAAATAGAACATCCTCAACAGTGTGTCACTAGTAGATAGCGACCAAAGTCCTAAGAGAACCGACTAATTCAGTTATGGGGTTGAGCCTCCCCACCCTTTTCAGGAATTGCAACTCTAAAGAATTGAACCCACTACCCTTTGGGTAGGTTAAATCGGGTCCAGCTGAGTTGCCACTAGATCTAACCATGTTTATATCTCAAGGGCAAAGATTAACCAAATAAGCTGAGATCACAATTTCAGCCACAAACAGAAAAAGGAAAAGAAATCTTCAGCAGTGTGTAACTGGGATCAGCATTAAAGATTGAATTTTCCAGGAAGCAGAGTTCTACATGAGATGAGACCAAAACTTAGGAGTGGAAGAAAGCAAAGTGAAAATAAACATTAAAACTTGAGAGACACAGTCACAAGACAAACTAAAAAAACACCATTCCACCACAACCATTAGCAGCAGAGCTAACCACTAAATGTCGTTAAGATTGGATTCAAAACCATCAAATAAAAATGTAGAAAGAAGAAAAGACATTAAGCTAGGACTAGGTGTTGTACTACAAAGACAACCTTGTCCTAATTTTCTTTGTCTCTGTCCTATTTTAACCCCAAATTCTCATTCAGGTTGTGATTACTACTTGGCCATCATGACCTTAACAAATTCATCATAATTTATTTGGCCATCACCATCAACATCAGCCTCTCGAATCATCTCATCAACTTCTTCATCAGTTAGCTTCTCCCCAAGGTTGGTCATCACATGGCGCAGCTCAGCAGCAGAAATGAAACCATTCTGATCCTTGTCAAAAACTCTGAATGCCTCTTTCAGCTCCTCCTCAGAATCAGTATCCTTCATCTTCCTTGCCATAAGGTTTAGAAACTCAGGGAAATCGATTGTACCGTTACCATCAGCATCAACTTCATTGATCATGTCTTGGAGCTCTGCCTCTGTTGGGTTCTGACCTAATGACCGCATAACAGTTCCAAGCTCCTTGGTTGTGATGCAACCTGCAAGCATCACACACAATGAACAAATCAACAAGAGCCTCCTAATTAAGCACATGCTCTCACTAGGTACACACAAACTATATAAATATTCACAGGAATGTCAAAAATACAATTAGAGAAGGTTTCAAATGCCTCTGCAATCTGCTAAAATTATTTTCTACAAATTATTGAGAAATTGGGGTTCTGAATATAGCTCTTACCCAGGTTTTTCAGATCCTTGCATCTTTGGATTTTTTTTTTTTTTAAATAAACAAAAAATTCTGTAAAAATTATCGAAAACCAAACATAACTTTTGCTATTTCTATAAATCATAAAAGCAATGGCAAGGCCCTGATTATGAGAAATATTATTATGAGAAACCAAAAAAAGAAAAAGAAAAAGAAAAAGAAAAAGACAACTAGATTATAGATCTAGACGTGCATACCATCGCCATCCTTATCGAACAAGCTGAATGCTTCCTTGAACTCAGAGATCTGTTCATCGGAGAGTTGATCTGCCATTGTGATAGGAATTGCTCTGTCTTTCTGCTTTTCTAGATATAGAGAGAGAGAGAGAGAGACTGAACAAATTGTTCCGACAAAACCTCCCCTTCTTATTTCGATGCCATTAAATAAAGACAGACTCTACACTTTTTTTTTTTTTTTTCTTTACCATAAATAAAATTGACTTGTTTCATATTTTATCTTTGACCCTTAAAAAATTCTCAAATAATTAACTGACTAAATTACCATTAAGCCCCTCATCACAACGACAATACCAGGAATTGCATTGTGATAGAAAATTTTCAAATATTATATATGAAGTTCATATCTATTAAAAAAACAAAAATAAAAATTAGACCAATGATATTGCAACAATCAAGTTGTGCTACTATCACGTTACTACCAATCAATTTCACTGTTAGATTGATTATGTTGATCTAACAGTTATATTTATTTCCATCTTTATATGGTTATGGTTTTCCAAATTTAATACTTCATATTTATTTTCACTTTTGTATGGTTATGATTTTCCATATTTAATGCTTTCACTTTAAATATGAGGAATCATAACCATACAAAGATGGAAATAAATATAACCGTCGGATCAACATAATCGATCTAACGATAAGATTGATTGGTAGTAAGATGATAGTAACACAACTTGGTTGTTACAATATCCTTCCCCTAAAAATTATTGCAGAAAATTAAAAGGGTTCATCTAATCTCATGTTACACGATAGATGATATCTTATGTTATACAGATACATGTGGTAGACCCACTATCTAAAAAAAAGAAAAAAAATATCACGATTTTCGATGGGTCTATAGAAGATAAACTAATTTTATGTTACGTAAGAATAGTTTTTCCCAAATTAAAATACCTCTAGTAAGAAAAAATATTTCTCGTAAGATATGAAAAAATATTTTTCCTCGGCAAGCATCAACTTACACATTAAGAATAAGAAATTGAAAATGTATGTTGTAAAACCTCTTTCTTTTTTTTGGTTAGTAAAAGCTCTTTAATATACCAATGATACGCTATAAAGTATATATTATTTTTATAGAATATGTAACTTATTTTTTATATTAAAAATAAAAAATTGTTTCTTAAGTATTCTTATTAACAGACAAATATCATATATTCCAAATTTATGATATAATAATTTTTTTTTCAACATATACCAATCTATTACCCTGATTATTTATAGTTTTAGAGAGTTCGAAAAGAAAATGTGTGTAAATAATTTCTTCGTTTCTGTAAATTTACTAGCGTAAACGAAAGAAATAATTCAAAGTGGATTTTGATTCAATTGCATTTCATTATTATTTATTTAAAATCATAATTATTGTTAGAGAATAATATAAATAATTAAAAAAGACCTTCATCCAACACTTTAAAATTTTGAATTTAAGTGGTTCTTTATACGGTATCAGAGTTTCCTTGACCACAAGATCATGAGTTCGATCCTCACCATCTTCACTTTCGAGTGAAATTAAAATAAGCATAAGGTAAAAATAAAATAAAATTGAATCTGTGCAATATTTACATTTCAAGCCCAAAAAGCTCTTGTGTGAGATAGTGTCTTGATTATCTGAAAATTCATTGTATTATGAAATCTGAGTTTACATTACAGCTATTCCACCTTATATATCATGGTGTCAAGTAGAAGAATCAATAATGAGTATAACAAACTTCCAACTATACACAACAGATTCCTAACCGTGTAACAAACTGGATACAGTTACAAACTAACTTTAACTGCATCTCTTTCCACGTCAGCGTTAGTTACTTCATTAGGATATATTAACATCCTCCCACAAGTGGGACTATATATGTTGAAGAGTCCCAACTTGGACACAGCTCTTTGAAACGCAGTAACATGTAATGGTTTTGTAAAGACATCCACAATTTGTGCTGAAGAAGAAACAGGCAACAGATGAACAAGCTTCTGAGCTACTTTTTCGCGAACGACATGACAGTCCAACTCAACATGTTTCGTTCGTTCGTGAAATGTTGGATTGTGTGTGAGATATATCGCGGATTTGTTATCACAATAAACTGATATGGGATGAGATAAAGGAAAGCATAAATCCTTGAGAAGATAGGAGAGCCATTGCAGCTCACAAGAGAGGCTAGCCAATGCTCTGTATTCTGCCTCACATGATGACCTTGAGACAATCGTTTGCTTTTTGAATTTCCAGGAAATAAGAGCGGAGCCTAGGAAGACACATTGTCCAGTGACTGAACGCCTAGTATCTGGGCAGCAAGCCCAATCTGAATATGAGAACCCTGAAAGCTTCAAGTTATTCTTTGAAGGAAAGAAGAGACCAGTGCCAGGGGAATTCTTAATATATCTGAGAACTCGAAGTGCAGCAGAGTGATGAACGTCCGTAGGATTGGAAACGAATTGACTTAATTGTTGAACTGGAAACATGATATCGGGTCTTGTAGTAGTTAAGTATAGGAGCCTCCCCACAAGACGACGATAGGGAGATGGATCAGTTAAAGGGACACCCAGGGAGCGCTGAAGCTTCGAAGATGCATCCATGGGTGTAGATGATGGTTTGGCAGCAAGAAGACCGCTATCTGACAAAAGTTCCAAGGCATACTTGCGTTGATTCAACACAATCCCCTTATTCGACCGAGAAATCTCCAGGCCAAGAAAGAACCTTAAAGTGCCAAGGTTTTTGATTTTGAACTGATTATCCAGAGAAGTCTTCACACGACGAATTTCATCCATACAATTGCCAGTCAACACAATATCATCAACATATATGAGTAAAGCTGTGAAGAGAGAACCAACCTTAAGCGTAAATAGAGAATAATCAGCGGATGACTGCACATAGCCCAAAGAAGACAAGGCAGATGTAAGTTTAGAATGCCACTGACGACTTGCTTGTTTAAGGCCATAGAGGGACTTTAATAACTTGCAGACTTGATTGGGTTTGCTGGCAGTAACCCCTTGTGGCAGAACCATGTAAACCTCCTCATCCAAATCGCCATGGAGGAAGGCATTATTGACATCCAATTGTTCAAGGTGCCAATTGTTAGCAGCAACAAGGGCCAAGAGGGTGCGAACAGTAGTGAGCTTAGCTACTGGGGAGAATGTATCGAAGTAGTCTATCCCTTCCACTTGTGTATAGCCTTTGGCAACAAGCCTGGCTTTGTGCCTTTCGATTGACCCATCAGCAAGGTGTTTAGTTTTGTATACCCATTTGCAACCAATGGGTGTCTTCTCAGGTGGTAAATCAACTAGCTTCCAAGTGTGGTTTAATTCAAGAGCTTTTAATTCAGTGAGCATAGCATCCTGCCAACAACGATGCTTAACAGCCTCAGTATAAGAAGTTGGTTCTGTTCGCAGAGACACATTAGAACAGAAATTGTGAAATTTGGAAGAACAATGTTCATATGAGATGACATCATGTAATGGGTATTTGATAGGAAGGTTAGTGGTGTTTATTGTGTTACAGTGAAAATCTTGGAGATAAGAAGGAGGGTTTCGGGCTCTAAAGGAACGTCGAGGTGGTACTGGAGTGTCAGTATGATTGTTATCAGTATGATTGTTATCAGTGAGGATGGGCGAATTGGCTATGGCAGGGATTTGAAAATCATGTGTGGATGGGTGTGAAGGAAAATCTAGTGGAGGTAATGGTTGAGGTGAAACAGATATGGGTGAGGGTGATTCATCTAAAGGTGGAGTAGAGGTGGCAAATGGAAAGATAGATTCATATAGAACAGTATTTCGGGAGAAGAAAACTTGTTTAGAGGTTAATTCATAAAGGATATGGCCTTTGGTATTAGGTGGTTCTCCCAAATACACACATTTTCTTGCTCGAGGAGAGAGTTTATGTCTATGGGAATTAAGGGTAGAGGCATATGTGAGGGAACCAAAAACTCGAAGATTGGATAGTAGGGGTGGTTTAGAGTGAAGAATCTCATATGGAGATTTGTATTTCAACAATGGGGTAGGCAAACTGTTAATGATTAACACAGCTTGTGAAACTGCATAATTCCAAAGTGAGTGAGGGATGGATGCTTGGAAAGCTAGTGCTCTTGTTACATTCATAATGTGCTGGTGTTTTCTTTCCACCAACCCATTTTGTTGTGGTGTCTCTACACAGCTGGTTTGGTGGACAATTCCATGCTGAGAATAAAATTCTGGCATAATGAACTCTTTCCCATTGTCGGTTCTAATGCACTTCAAGGAAGTATTAAATTGGTTCTCAGTGAGTTTGATGAAATTTTGTAAAAGCTGTCTTGTTTCACTTTTGTAGACCATGAAAATGACCCAAGTAAACTGAGAGAATTCATCAACTAAAGTCAAGAAATATCTATATCCATGAATAGCAGGAACCATAAATGGCCCCCAAATATCAACATGTAGTCTTTCAAAAACTTTATTCACAGACGAGTTGCTAACAGGAAATGGTAACTTCTTGTGCTTAGCAAAGTGGCAAATGTCACAGGGTTTGACATGCCTATTTGGTATAAAGGAAAATTGAGAAGCAACATGCTTCAAAATATTCTCTGAAATATGGCCCAATCTAAGGTGCCATAATCGAAAATCATTATTTTTATTACACAAGTAACATCTATGACAATGACAGACTTGGAAACTCGAATTGAGTTGTGCAGATCCAGTTGTCATGACAAACAGTCCTCCTCTTCTTCTAGCTGTACCAATCGTCCTCAAATTGGTTTTCTGTTTAATCAAGCAATGTGTTGCATGAAAAACCAAGAAATAGTCAGCATTTTCAAGCAATCTTGTGACAGATATCAGATTCACCTTGAATTTTGGAATATATAATACATCCGTTAAGGTAAGGGTGGAAGAAATGTCCACATTTCCAGCATATGAAGCAACAACAGATGATCCATCAGGCAAGAAAACAGATATAGGTGTAATCTTGTGAATGGATGTGAATATGGATTGAATATGTGTGATGTGATCTGTGGCCCCTGTATCTAAGAGCCATTGCATCGAAATTTTACCTGTCATAGGAAGGTTCTCATTGACTGCCATGTTGGTGGAATGGACATGATTGTTTTGCTGCATATAAGCCATATAGTCCTCATATTTCTCCTTTGAAACAGACATCAGTGGAGCT